ATGGAAGAATATGTAAAATATGTATTGCAAATATTTGTACATATTTAAGGTAATCATTAAATTATATGCATTCATTTCTTATTGGAAAAATTGACTTAGAATTTATAGAAAACTAAATTTTAATTACCTCCCTTTATTTACATGAAATATTAAATTCGGTAATATCTTTATAAATAATGTTTTTTGAAACTTACAATATCGATAAATCTTAATTTGAGCATCATAATTTGTATATAAAACCATGAAAATAATGTGTTACAGGATCTTTAACTACCCCTGTGAAAATGACAAGGGCAGTTCAAGAAAAGTTCTTGCACTGCTCAAGAACATTGTTCAAGAATTGCATCTGAACTGCTCTTGATATGTTCAAGAACTGTTCAAGTACATTTTAAGAAATGTTAAATTGGACAATTTTTAGGAACAATAGTTCTTGAGGAGTTCTTAAAACCTGTTCAGAACAGTTTAAGTGCAGTTCTTGAACAGTATTTCTTGAATAGTTCAAGAACTCTTATTCTTGAACAGTTCATAGACTATTCATGAACAGTGTTCAAGAACACTTCAAGGGCTTTTGTTCCTAAAAATTGTCCAATTTAACATTTCTTAAAATGTACTTGAACAGTTCTTGAACATATCAAGAGCAGTTCAGATACAATTCTTGAACAATGTTCTTGACCAGTGCAAGAACTTTTCTTGTACTGCTCTTGAAATTTTCACAGGGTTACAAATGACACAATTTGAAAAGGCAGCTAATGGTAATATTTTGGCTATCTGCCTAACATAACACATGGCCTTTACAGTATAATTTCTAAGCAAATATTATGTAAAGTTTCATGACTCTAGGTCAAATACTTATTGAGTTACGTGCGACACAAGTTGAAAATTTTAACTAAGTCAAGGGTAATAACTCTGAAAATACCGAATAAATCCACACGAAAATACCCAGGTGAACAACTGCACATGCTGATCAACACTCCTGTCAAGTTTCATGACTCCAGGTAAAATACTTTTTGAGTTACATGCGACACAAAATAGAACGGACGGACAAGGGTAGTGGGGGCACAAAAATACCTTGTTCAAGCGTGTTCAACCACTTCACGTCCTGCCCCTTCCTGATACAACAAAAATCTTAAATTCAATGACTGAGATTAAGGCATTGTATTCAGGTTAGTGCTACAAGTTTGACACTGTTTGTGCTATTTTTGTTCTTTGCAAATCATCATGTGGGATTTACTTTAATGGACCAGTAATAATGAGTATTCAGATTCTCTAGTATAGGCTTAGGCAGTGTAAAAGACAAACCATTTCAGCTAGGCTGTCACCTGGACCACTTACCGATAAATTTTGGTGGCCTAGACAACTTTTAGTGGTCCAATAATTCCTATACATGCACAGAAATCTACAGATTAAATCCCCCCCCCCCCCACACACACACAAAAATCAAAACAAAAACCAACAGAAAACATGATTTCTGTTCCAATTAAATTTTTGGATGTTTCTTATTGTGATTTAAAAATACAGTCAGTCATGTGTTATTTTAAAATACAGACATGATTCTGATTGATGTAGGCTTATTGAATGTCATCTTTCCTTGTTGATCTTGTTTATCATATTCTATTATATAACTACATAAATTTATGGAGATGTAAAATGCTGTCTCTTTATGAAAAACTTTTTTTCTAATATAAGGGCAAAATTGCTAAGGTAGTTAACTGTCTGCATACTAGGGTGTTAAACTGTCTGGGGTAAAAATAACTTGCTACCATGCATTTTTCAAAAAAACTATTTTTAACTAGATCTATCTTTTAGAATGCATAAGCAAATTATTTCCTGCAGGGAAGCAGAACCATCTTCAATCATCAATGATGCTTTGTTTCTGATTCATTATATATCGTTCCTGTTCAACAACAAAGAAATAAATAAAAACAGGTCGCGAAAATGTGTGACAAATGTCCGTTTACGCAATATTTCCAGTGAGGTTTAAGTATCTAAAATGTAACCAGGAATTAGCTGGAAATACAAGTATTATTTCTATTGTTACAGTCGGCAAATTGTTACAAAATAATGCTTTTAGAAGTGAAGTTAGGTCATTAAAATAGTTATAGACTCTTCATTTTTTTCTCGGAGGCCGGAGGGGTCATTAACACGCCGGCTCTGTTTGGAAAAAAAATCAGTGCATTTTAATAATAGATCTAATCACAGTGAATTTCACCGATTGCAGCTTTGAAGGTCTTCTTCTGATGAGCAATTTCACCTTCCTCGTTGTTAGTCTTTATTGGGGAGAGATATCGTCAGTTCACTGTTGATATGAGACGAAATGTCTGCCGTCTTTGAATATCGCGCGCACAATAAACCTGTGTTCTACGCAATAAACCTGTGTACTACGTCAGCAACATGTGCTTGATTAGCATAATTTCGTGTAGATTTTAATTCCGTTGTTTTTGCAGTCAATACAATGACTGAATAATTTCAATTATATCGTTGGGGCCTGCAAATTTTATTTCACAAATCTATTTAGTATTGTTTTAAGCCCAACAAGCGCTTGAATTTCATACAAAGCTACAGAAGTTTCCAAAACAATTGTGTTGCTATGTCATCAGTATACGTATCCAATACGTCATGAAATTATGCTCGTCTTGGTTAGCGTAAATATACGGATATTGCTCGAGTATAATCGTAAATGTTCGCTGGTTAAGTAAAGAGTAAGTAATCATCGTTAATTTCCGTCAGCTTCTGAAGTACATGTAAATATGACCTGCCACATATACTTTAATATTTAAAACAAATAAGGAAGTAAGCACTACTGTACTGCAGAAAATTGATGAGTTGGTTGTGTAAAAAAGGGAATTTTATTAAAGAATTTACTGATTGAATTTCCGTGGTCAAGCAATAAAAAAACTTCTGCTTTCTTTATTTTATGCAAAAAAAAAATGTTTTGGGCCTGTGCTAATCTGCCCAGGTCTTTATCTATTAATAAAATGGCCAATCCCAATGGTCATAAATGCAGATTGACCACTAAGGTCAATTGATTATTAAATTTCAATTTCAATTAAATAATAATAATAGTAATCATAGAAAAATATTAATAAATAGATCTAGATCAGTATGTTGTTTTACTTAAAAAAAGGAAAAACATTTTTATTTTCAATTTTATTGTCTTCCTTTATTAATCTAACTTGTTTACTTTTTAAAGTATTTTCAACAAACAGAATTCCTAGTCTTTAGGAATTTATGTTAGATTCAAGGAATTTAGCACTTCATTTGAAAAGCAAGAACTTTTATTACTGCTGTAACACTGTCCTTGTATCCTTCCTGATTTGTTCTAAATACCATTTCAAGACCATGATTGGAACATATTAAGAACAATGCTGTTCTTGATATCTTCTTAAACTATACTAAAACATTTTCAAGAACAATGACAGAACCTGTAAAGAACAAATGTTGTTCATAAAAATTCTTTGAATTGCTCAAAAAACATATTTAAGAACAGTTCAAGAACATCAGAGGGTATTTGTTGTTCAATAAAAGTTCTTAAACTGTCCAAGAATAGTTTAAGAACAAATCAAGAACACCAGATATCCTTAAAAACTTCTGGAACTGTTCCTAAAGACAGTTCTTGAACAGTTCAAGAACATATGTTCTTAAAATCCTCTAAGAACAGATCAAGAACTCTTGCTGAGTTTTAAGAACTGTTCTTGAACTACTCATGACCATAAGAACTTCATTTCGGCAGGGCGATGTTAATTGTTGTTTTAGCAATAACTAATTCTTAAAAATATGTCGTATTTTACCTTTGTTATATCATATTATACTCCTTAAATTAAATGTGATCAGAACCTGTGGACATTTTGATCTTGGTATTAAATCATTACATAGTTTTTACTTCTGGACAAAATTTAAGGCCTGTCCTGAGCATATACTATAACAAGTCAATACCTTTAATATTTTGCACTATAGTGATCGAGTCCAAGATAATTTATTGATATTCACGAAATTAATAATATGTATGTTTATTAATTAAGCCTCCATTAATGATGGTGAATTTAAGTATTCAGTCAATACTTATTACTTAAATAATCAGTAACAATTGTAACATCAAAGATGTATAGCATAAAATTATGCATGGGACCTTGATTGAAACATTCAGGAAAGGGTCCGAATGATTTTTATTAAAGCAAGACTTAGTGATCAAATTCATAATCTTTGGATTTTGTACCCCAAGAATGTGCTACTAGTGGACTATAGCACCTAGTGCTTTCTTTGAATGAAGCCAGTGACTTTTCACACTTTGGAACCAATACAGCCAATGAATATAATATCAAACAGGTCTTAAAATTTTTCTGCAAGTTTTGAATTTTTTCAATTTCAAACATTAAAGAACTTCTTAATTCACAAAATTAAAACCTTAAATTTGGGATCTTTCACATTTCAGCTAAATAAATTTATATTGAATAAATGATCTAAAAACATATAAAAAGTTTCAAAAAAATTAAAAAAAAGGACAAATTATCAATATATCAAACTGTAAAGAAAAACAAATTCATACGAAGAATGCAATTTTTGTTTTTCACTTTACTTCACTAAACATGCTTAAGTATACTGTTTTATAGTATGACTTTTTCCAAACATTTTACCTGTTTAAAACACCTGACACAAAATCACCAATCTCAAATGCAAAATAACTGATTTCAAATTTATACAGATAAATATTTCAACTTTATAATCTACATATACAGCTGTCAAGTGAAATATTACATCTGTGATGATCAAAGGAAATACCTTATTTAAATTATAATTCTATTTCATTTTTAAAATTCAATTTGAAATTGAGTAATGGGATTTATTGAAACTTCTTTTCAAAACATTTTCTAACATATCCGACATGACACATCAAATTTAATAGAAATTTAACTACATTTTTGAAAAAGATTACAACTGTAAATAAAATCTAATTTTCTATATATACAAGAAATTAGCATATAAAATATTAAAAAAGAACATACCTTATTTATGTAAAATTCAGTGTATCAAATCCAATGGTCAATTTATTTACCGGTTACTGTATTTAACAATCTAATTTTTCCCCGTCTATCAAATTTTTTATCGTTACATCCTATGGGAGAAAACAAATGTAAATCGTCTTTAATCCACTATCAGTTATCACTCTATAAAGCTTCGGGGATGATCCGCAAAAGCATATGTTATTTTCAATATTAAATTTCACTAGCCGCTATAAATGACAAATTGACGGCAATTTCGATTGTTCGAAACTATCTTCACATCCACTATTCAAAGTTATTTACTTTAAAACATTCACACTCGTTGACAGCTACTTCTCACTATGATCATATACAAAGAGAGAAAAAAAACTCTCTGCGTCCATTTACAAATAAACCGAATATAGTAATAACGGGTCTATAAGCTACTACCACAGGTATTGAAGAAGTTCGTTTCGACCGACTGACTTTTTTCAAATAACAACATAATGGTGTTAATGCGTTGGGCTGACTTCCTCTGCATTATTGCATTGCACCGTTCAAAGCGGTGGGTTTTTTCTGTTTTTTAAAAATATCAAACTGGGGGCTCAATCAATAGGATATTTTAGTATTCAGCATGTGGTATTCTGGGTACATCAATCATGTAATAGGATTATAAAGGTGTAATGAAAACATGTGACATTAGCGCATGACAATAACATAAGTATTACATTCTATTGTATAAAAGAATTGACAAAAAAAATCAATTCATGTTGTGAGGGGGTAGGTGGGCAAGGGGAAACAGGACATATTAAAGAGCATGAAGCGTTGTTTCAAAGTGACAGGTTTTGCGAGTTTTTGTCCGATTTCCGCACATACATCTATAATTAATCATCACACATAATCTAAAAGCAAATAAAGGTAATTAAATATTTAGCACAAAAAATTCAATGAAAGTTATTACATTAATGAAGGCAGGTAAATGGCCATGTCAATCTGTCACACAAAGATTTGTAACATTAACATTGCTCATCATAAACTATTGAGCTCTTGATTCACCATACAAAGAAATGATAACCTTATATTTTCATAACCAAAAAATGTCAACAAAAAAACAACACTGAATTCTGTGCATTTTTTTCCCTGAATAATTGAACAATTCATTTATGACAGGTAGGATTATGTACAAAATATAAATATTTTAAATTAATTTTTTTTTAAGCCAACATTTTTCATTTCTCATTTAACTATTTTGGATTTTATGACTGAACATTTTAGTTTGATAGACATATACAAGCTATCAGCTTATAGACACACTCTTAAATCCACCAATACTTAATTCTTGATCAAAGATACCATAGCTTGCACCTAACAGGATTTGAAACCATGCAGTCTGCAATCCTTTAATTCATTACTAGTAAACCACTTTGTCATGCCACCATTTTACTTTATTACAAACTAAAAATCTATGCTACTTAAAACCCGAACAAAAATTATAATGTTAATTTATCAATAAACAATTTCAATACAAAATTGCCAATTTTTAGATACCACCTCTTTAATTTTAATGAAAGACTATAATTTTTATTTTTCAAATTTTATCTCACCTTAGTAGGTTTTACACTATATTAAAGGTCTTCCAGAGCAGGTCTCACTGTACTGCTGTATTGCGATAATTAAACATGTTTTTTCGATCATTGGTTGACAGCAGGAAAACATCTAAAGAGCACACAGTTTAGCATTAGTGCGCACTTAATAGCAAACTACACAAAACATCATATAATTACTGTGACACCAACGCCCATTTTAAATATTGAATGCATTAAATTTTATCAAAATTAAATAAACCCCCCTCGCAATAAATTATATGATGGAGCAGGTGAAGTATATAAATATCCACTGAAGAGCTATTATTAATAGTTGATCGTAGAAGAAAACAATAATCCATTCTTGTCATTAATAATTTTCTGTTTGATTGGAAAATGATAACACTTGATTTGAATCTAATCTGTCTTCAAACAATAACTAACTGACAATATTGCCTTCAGAAGTCACAAGAGACCAAACAAATATCTTCATATGATAAGAATAAATCCTACTCTTTATAAAAGTTGTCATATCAAAATTTAATATTCTGTCATCAAAATATTCTCAAGTGTTATCGAAAAATCATCATTTTAAAGAATGTGCACCTTCAAATTTCAATAGTGGCAGATTGGCTGAGTGGTTAACGAGTCGAACTAGTAATCTAATGATGGCCAGCCACATAGGTTCAAACCCCGTCAGGGGCAAGTTCTTTCCTGCTTTAGCAAGAAACTTTAAATCCATTGCTCCGAGTACTGGTTGGTTCCAGGAATGGATTTGCAAGTATGTTTATAAGCTTATAACTTTCTACACAATTGAACTGAATTAAATTCTATATAATAGAATTATAGTTATAATTATAGTTTCAGAAAGCTCAACACACATACATTAAGTTCCTTAGTTTTTTTGTCAATTTTTTTTTTCTCCATTGTAAGAACAAAAAGTTGACAATTGAATTGTTTTTTACAAAACATTCAATGAATTCAAAAAAAAATCCTTTAAGAGAGCATTAGTATCATAATATAATCAATTTTTTTAAAACATATGTTTGGAAAGCACAGAGGTCCAAAAGCCTAAAAACATAAAATTTGAATTCCTTACAAAGAGGAGCTGGGGTACTTATAAACAAAAGATATACAAAAGATAATTATGAAATATACTCAGAAATAGATAGAAACTAATATATATATGTTATTCTTAGCCTGATTTGAGTGAAAGCACTGGGTCATTTTTCACAATTATAATAACTATCCGGAAATAAAGAGTTAGTGAATGAACATACAAGTTAATATTGGTCTACACCTACATAAAATTATTTCAATTCCAGTCCTGTAAAAAATTACCTCAGTGGAGTCCCTTGAATTATTCTAATAATTGTAGGTATTTCCACAAAAATGAAAATCTGAAAAAAGAAAAAAAGAAAAACTAAACAAAAACAACGACAAAAAAAACATTCAAATTTGCGCAATATTAAATAAAATTAATGTCAGATATAATTGTACTAGCTGTCAGTAATTATTAAAGCTTTAAGCAGATAATTCTATAGACCATACCACTACGATTCAAATTTCTTATAGAGGACCGACTCAGACTTCTTAAAGAAAAACTGTAAAAAATCGCCAGACTTTGAAAATTGAAAACTGAGCGGGATCAATTGAAATACTGCGCAGGCTCGTCAATCAGGGCTGCAGCGGTAATCTGTTAATTTCAGCCTGTACCGAATAGCTCATGCATCAATTTCACACAACGGTTTTTTTTTTACCTCCAAATTATCAGATTTGCAATTTAAAGTAATAAGGTGATGGTAATTACACTTAAGACCTGTTTTCTTCTTCAATTTTCTTCTGTTTTTCATCAGGATTGAGACTGAGAGAAATAAAATTACTGATGCCGTTTCCATTTTGATAGCATAAATTCTAAGAATAGGTCTGGACGATGGATACAAGAATAGTTTTTCCATGGAACTTTATGGAAAAAAAAGTAAATTCAAATCATAATAACTTTATTCAATTTTTTTTTTTTTTTTTTTTTGTGAAATGTAATTTTAAACAATTTCTCCATTACTTAGGCCAACAAAATAGAACTGGAACTGATCAGCTTGTATACTGGTGAGTATTTTCCTGGGTTGTAAATTGCATCAACAGATTATAAGTCATATGGCGACTTACCAGCTTAACAGTCAGTGGAAGACCTCAGCCGCATTTCCGTGCATTATTTAAGGCATGAACAGCCATCTGAGTAGAACCGCCGACAATCTGTAAGCTAAATGGATAGCTTTCTCAAAAATTCCTGTCGGGATTCAAACCTGCAGGAGAAAAGAGCAAGTGTTTTGAATTCAACGACCTTCACTCGGTCACTCTGACACCCCTTATATACTAACTAAATCTGATCAAAGCAGCACTATGGTCAAGGTTAAAGGTGTACGTCTGCCTCAGTCAACCAAGGGCTCAAGCATTCAAGCTCTACATGCGATGTTTCCTAAATAAATACCATATATAGCTGTATAATTATTTTCCCTTAATTAACCTGCTGAAACTGAAAATGATTTGCCTTAGCCACCAGTATAGAGCCAGGCAAGCATGCACATATGTGCAATCTGACCAAGTTCAATTGTTGTTTTTTGATATTAAATCCCTTTAACTTTCAATGGACTTTTCCAAATTTCAAAGAAGGGCAAATGATCACAAAAGCAGCTTAATCCAGCATTCAATATTGATTATTGATCAAATTTAACATTTTTGGGATTCAAACCAGCAGATAGGATGGGAAGGAGGTGATGGGCAAGTGACAGCTAAACCACTCAGCCAAAGACCAATGTATAATCTGTACTTCATTGGGTTTAAAATTTTGTTGTTTATTCCTAAAAAAGGGGCATTTTTGTTAGGATATACACGTAGTTATTTTATGGCAGGAATAATTCACTGATCTTTTAATGAAGTTTAAAAGCAATACAATTTTTCTCTATTTTCATTTTTTTCATTCCTTTATTTTTTTTTTTTTTAAAATCGAGGGAATGTGTGTCAATCAAATACTCGGCAACATTAAATTCTATTATATAAACTTGATAATGATCAAAGCAAAACAGTAATTCTTTCAATAATATTACAAAAAAAACAAGTCATGCCTTTCTGAGCAGTTTTATTTAAGAGATTGGATATAAATGCTTGATTTGGAAATTAGTACATAATAAACTGAGAATGAATTTCGCTATCGTAAAATCACCATTAGTCTAAAATGCTATGTCATTCATACAAAAACTAGAGGATGCTTTTGTAAAAAAGCGCATGTCTCCCCCACTGCACTGTGACCTTGACCTTTGACCTACTGACCCCAAAAACAATAGGGATCATCTGCTCTATAAGACCAATCATCCTATGAAGTTTGAGGGTTGTAGGTCAAAAGGAACTCTAGTTATCATCCGGAAACGAGAAATTGACCAACGGTCACTGTGACCTTGACCTTTGACCTACTGACCCCAAAAACAATAGGGATCATCTGCTCTATAAGACCAATCATCCTATGAAGTTTGAGGGCTGTAGGTCAAAAGGAACTCTAGTTATCATCCGGAAACGAGAAATTGACCAATGGTCACTGTGACCTTGACCTTTGACCTACTGACCCCAAAAACAATAGGGATCATCTGCTCAATAAGACCAATCATCCTATGAAGTTTGAGGTCTGTAGGTCTAAAGGAACTCTAGTTATCATCCGGAAACGAGAAATTGACCAACGGTCAGTGTGACCTTGACCTTTGACCTACTGACCCCAAAAACAATAGGGATCATCAGCTCTATAAGACCAATCATCCTATGAAGTTTGAGGGCTGTAGGTCAAAAGGAACTCTAGTTATCAT